TTGTTGTCGCGCGTACGAGTGTGTGTGTGTAAAATACAAAATGTAGGCGGAGTACAGGTGTCGTCCGGAACGAAAACCGGTTTACCGTCCACAATGGATCAGCAGTGTTTTTTTTTAGGTAACTTGTAACTCGCGACGTTGCCACATTTATGGACTGCCGTGACTGTCGTCACTAAGTGTCCCTTGGTCAGGAAAACTGTACATATGTACGATCATTATTATCACTGCGATAAACATATTTAGATGCGTAGAACACACATAACATAATTACCGTAACTACCATAACTACTGTATCAAACTACTTTCATCAGCGAAATTAAGTTGAGGTAAGAAACGATTTCATCTCACACGATTATAAAAATTGTCTCTTTATTCATTCGAATGAAAAGGATGATCGGCACAGAAACGTTAATTAATTACAAATCAAAAAGTTAAAGACGCACTACAAACAGAAATGCATAATGTTGACCACCTCATAATTTATACCACTGAATAAGTATCTCGTAATGTATTTGAAAATTAAGCCATAATAAATTTCAAATAAATACACATCACCATCAAAATAATAATTGAACATGTGTGTTTAAGGTTTTCAAGGAAATGACAAATATGGATAAAGTATGGACTGTAATGAACACAAACTACCCCTATGTATATATTACTCGATTCAATTGTGGTATATATGCTATACCATAATATATTGCTTTATACATTCCCAATATAGAAGTATATACGATAGAATAGATTAATTTGTGTACATGTATATACATTTAACCAATATAATCATCTTCTACGATTTGAATTTCAAGACCGGGTGTAATAATTTTTTAAATAATAATAGTTTTCATACCCAATAATAATTTGTATGGTATAATACATCAATTCTTTTAATACGGTGCGATGATAATAAAACACTAGGTACATGTTACAACACAATAAACTTGATAAATAATTACTAGAACTGAAATTGTCTACTGACAAAATCAAAAGAAAAATAATGACTTCAAGATTACTAGTCAAGAATTTTGATAGTATGTGCTACTATAACAATAGTGTAGAATAGTTTTAAACTAAGTGCGAATTTTGAACACAATCCATAAACGTAATATCCTTGAGTACATATAGTTAATAAACATAACATATTTGTTAGACGAGGAGTTTTCACGTGATATAAACATAATTTCGTTTTTTTGCAAGTCCTCTCTACAATAATCAGTCACGTTGAACAGGGCCAGATCCTATCACCACTTTTTCTTCCAAAATAGTATTTTTTTATCGTTATTATTTAACCTATAGGTACCATAAAATGATATAATGGTGTATTAAGCTTTTAAACAGAAAACGATCAACGGTGATTACAAATATATGCTGGAACAGTCCGATTTATGATTTCGAGACGATTTGTATTTTCTCTGGTGGTGACTTTTTCATACGAAGGGCGGCGCTAAGCCGATATCATAAATAAAAACGTGTGTGTTCATTGTATAGTTATATATTGTTATGTTCACCCCAATGAAACATACAGGTCCGCTTGAAGAAATAATGTCTATATTTAAGTATATATTATGTGTATATGTCTGAGTATACAACTTGGGTAACTAGTGATTCATCGAGCACACCTGCACCTTCTATTCTTTAATTCGACAATGATGAGTCCAACGTTGCTCCAGACACGTACAATGATGATGCTCGGGTTTTATAAATGTTGGTATATTAATGAAAGTGAATAAATTGAACAAAAAATTTAAGATCTAACACGAATAAGCAGTAAAATGGTATATATTAAAAACTATAGTAACAAAATAATTTTGTGGATATTATGAATGAAGAACAATATTATTTATAGCATTTATATTATCCCCCGAGAGTTTTATCTATAAGAATTGTTTTATAGTTAATAGATAAATGATAAATAAATAAATACAATTAATTGAATAACATAAAATTTAATTTATTAGTAACATATAAGCTATTTAATAGAATATTTTAATAAAACATTATTTGACCACATTTAAATAAAAATATGTATCTGTAGTAGAGCAAGAATCAGTATTGTTATCAAAAGAGCTTTCTTAATGTATTTCGTGATCCCTATTAATCAGGCGCTAATGGATAACAAATATAACACTAAAAAAGGAAGCTAATTGTACTAAATAATGATTTAGATAAAATCGATACGATTTGTGATTATTGATAACCTAATAAGCACTAGAAATGGATAGTATTATAGTAATACTATATTTATTAATATTTAAAAAGTAAAATAGAGCGAAAAAAGTAAAAATGTTAAGATTAGTTAAATAAAATATTAAAAAATGTATGTACATTAAATAATATATAACTAAATGTTATTTTTATGTTCTTTATAAAATAAATATTACTCTTACTATAATATATATAATTTATTATTTGTAATATTTTCTAGTACAATTTAACTGTCAAACTGATAACTAAAACTAAAGCTCACTAATAAATAAAATATTATGTAAGTACATACACCATAAATACCAAATTAATAACATAAAATATTTTCCTACAATAATATACATTCATTAATAATTACATATTATAATAACACTAATAACTCTTTAACGTATTAATAGTATTAAAGTTATAGATAAAAATATATAATCATTTTTAAAATAATTAATGTATTTATAGAATTAAGTTTTACTTTTATTCTTTATGATAGGGTAGATGATTTGAAAAATTACGCACGAGAACAAATTAAACAGTGTATATATGTAAATAATCATAATATATCCACTGTTGAACACATGTTTCAATTTTAATATTTGATTATTTATTTTATATTTTTACGTACTTTTAAGATTATAATCATCTTTTAAGATGATAACGATCCAAAAAAATATTAATATAAACAACCAGATCATACAATGGAATAGAAAAGATAATTCAGTCAAATACCTTGGTGTTTTCCTCGATGAAAAACTGACATGGAATATCCATATAAACAAAAAACTCACTCAGGAATATGCCAGGATGAGAATTCTCTACCCCTTAGTAAATTACAAATCAACTTTTCAAATGAAATCTTCTCTTCTTCTCTACACCACAATAATCAGACCACTGATAACTTATGCTTGTCCTGTATGGGCTGCTGCCTCTATGACTAAAATAAATAAACTCCAAATCTTACAAAATAAATTCTTAAGGATATGTCTCAAAGCACCGTGATTTATGAGAAACCGTCAGATCCATAATGACACGGGAATACCCCTGATAAATACATGGATTAAAACCCAATATAAAAATTTCCACGCCAAACTAAAAAACTTGGACAGTGCTCGTCATTACAATTTAGGAAGAAAAACACTCAATAGACGTCTGCGGCCTCGACTTCCCCAGGATATTCTCTTAACAGACACGGAAGACTCATCTTCAGATAATGAGGATCATTATTAATATGATAGACCTTTTTATTATATTCAAATGTGTTAGCACATCATTTTATAACCTCACTATTAATATTTATGTAATTAATAAATTTATAATTATTTAAATTTATAGCAAACAAAATTGTAAAAACTAAAAAGTTGTAATAGCACTAGAGGTGCTGAAACATTTTATAATTATAATAAATGAAAAAAAAAGATTATAATTTTAAAAAATATTTAATAATGTAAGATCCTGTTGTTTAATTAGAGGTCGTATAAAATATTAAAATATAATTTCTTTGAGTTAAATTGAATTCCATGGTAAATTCAATATTATATATTATGCTTTTACATTTATGCCTTCAAGATCTTTAAACGAAATGTAACTATAAGCCATTCCTAAATTCTATATAATTGAAACCGTTACAATAATGTTCACTACATACCTACAAATGTATACAAAGATAATTAGGTAACATTTTTAATTTAAATTGGATATTATAAAATATATCATATAATGATTAAGATCAATTTAATTCGATATTAACTGTTATAACCGTGTTATTAGTAATGGTTATCTTTAATCGTCTTATTTTAATGTATTTGATCCCCATTTATAATTTAGGGATTTTATACTTTCTACATATACTGTAAATGACGATGACAATAACGTAGTAATAACTATTATTTGATGAAAACATTTTTAGTAAAAACAAAGAGAATCTCACATGAATAGTAATAATTTAGGAACTCGAAAACGAAAATGTTTACTGAAGCACAATACCTGTGCACATACTTCATAAAATAAAAATAAAATATTTCAAAGTTTGTCAATCATGCAATATAAATAAATTACTATTTTGTAACCATATTTTTTGGGTTAAATATTTTCTGAAAAAAATTAAATAAAAATAAGTTTCATCTAGTTATTCATATTTCTGAAATTGTTTGACATTTTATAAATTATAACTTTTAACTTAAAAAAAAAAAATTACTTACAATTAGAAATTGTTTATAATTATTTTAAAATGTTTATTTTGCTTACATAACTCCAGGTAAATATGTTAAAATTAAGTTTTTTTTTAATTTTCTTTACTTGGTAGGTTCCATAAACAAAATATGTAATAACGATTCTAATGGTTTTTACTTACATCAAATGAACAAGTTCATGACCCAAAACATATATATTTTATTTGGACAACATCATGTAAAACCAACACATATTATATGAGCGAGAATCTTCCTATTTTAGGTTTAATGTGCAGACTTCTTATAAGATAAATACCGACTGCGTTTACTTTTCATATTCATAAAAATATGTCTAAAAATTAATTTCATAAACTATACTATATTAAATGAATATTAGCCGTGTTCAATATCACGTTGGCCGAAAATGATAAGAATGTCACACGCAATGGTCATATATATTTAATATAGCAAAACGAGTCTGGGTTATATATGTAACAATGATGAGGAGGTCATTGGACGAAGGAAGTCGAATATGTTGACCTTATCGTATCCAATCATGTTTTGTCCGCATATGCACATAGTCACATAAATGAAGTTCCTAAAAATCTCTTTAGACTATATTTTACAACATACCTGGGGACGTCATGCTATCTTCCTCCGACAACGGGTACATCTGAGAAGCTGGCTCATGTACATATAACCCTTTTTGTACTCGTATAACGCCGTTGGCAAACGCGTGATGATTTATCTGGGTGCTACGAACGGGCTGAGACGAGGCCAAATGAAAACATAAAAAATAAAAATAAAAATAAAAAAATGAATAAAAGTAAAAGAAAAAAGTTTTATGTCAAATAAAAATAAAAATAAGAAAATAATCGAAATAGCAAAACACAGTTTTTATCTAAAAAGAACTAAAATCATCAAATCAAAAAAGTATTCCGAATAAGAATCGTTTGTTTTTTTAATAAAATTTTTTAATTAAATATTGTATGACTTCTATACAGAAAAAAATGATTACTTATTTGAATAATAAATTGATATAAAACTTAAAATGAATGAATATATGTATATACACATATGAACCTATAGTTCTCAAAAAATGTGTTCACTGGGAATACAGTTCATAAGATTCGTTTACTAACACAAATAAATATATCGTTATAGGCTGTAATTTATTGATGGTGTATTATAAAGCACTACATTTTATAAAACAAATTCAATCGGTCAAAACAATGGGATTTAATTTGCCGGTCAACAAAATATATGGGTTCACACGATTCTTGAAAAAATGAGGCGATTAATTTCCAGACAAGACGGTATTTGTTTTTTATTCTGCCGGTACTGCTCAAACACATAGCTATTCCTATATGTGTGTTAAATAATAAGGACGCAATAATTTTCATTTCTCGACCAACTCGAATGAAAAAAGTACTAAATCCTTTTTTCTCTATTCTCTTTTATCAACAGCATGATTATTGTCATCAGATGAAACAAAAACGACATTCTGCCGATCGTCATTGAGGCGACGGCAAAAATACTACAAATACTTTGGCTATTATCGCGTATTTATCATGTAAAACCGGTTTTATATTTTATTAAATTATCAATATAACATAGCCATTTATTCGGTACTATATTAATTTACTCAATTTAGTAAGAATTTTCACTATAATATTTTAACATAAATAAAGTTCATTAAAAAACGAAAAAAAAATGGAATAATCTACCAAATATTGTTTGTACATCACTGCTGTCAAAGTTAATTAAAAGAATACATTTTTTAAATAATATTAAAAACTTTCCAAATAACGTTAAATTTTATTGAAATCTTTGATACATTTTAATAAAATATACTTTTTATAATTTCAGTGCATTTTATTTTTACATACGCACGTATACTAAGGAGAAAATGGTTTTTATGATTTCCTGCTTAAATACTCGTATATAAACGAGAATAAAATACAACATCACGACATAATTATTATACTTTTATAAAACTCATAAAAAATTTTTTTATTCGATACATCATAAACGAGTATATTGATAATTGATACACTATAATCACTGTTGCTCATAACCCCATAACCAATAATGGCGATCATTATAAATAATAATAAAGGTAAATAATGATATTTTTACTATCATTTAATATTACATTATCAACTACATTTAATCAATTGTTTTATCATTATTAAATTATTCTTAACCATGTTGAATTCAATATCGGTTGATATAGTAACACTATGAATTTACCGTTCAATGTAATCGAACTGCTCAAAGCCTAGGTTGGCCGAGAAAAAAATCAATAATATAGCTCGTTAAAACTATTAACATTTTACGTGACATCCATTTATTCCTTAACTTCAATGAAATTACATTGAAACACAACTATAAGAAAAAAATAACAGCTAACGCGAGTCTCTTAACTATTATTGAAACTCTATTCTTAGTAAATAGTTTAATTATTTATACGTTAAACCAATATAATACTAATTGTGAAATGTAATTACGTATCTATATGGTGAAATAACAATTTATTTAATCGCAAATTAAATGTACTAAGTATAAAATCTAACAATATATATTTTATAAGGTTATAATTTTTTATTTTAATAAAATACAAAAATAACAGTCTGACGTTAAAAAGTTCCGAACAGAATAATAAAATCAGTATAAAATATAAAATCCATCAAAAATAACCAAGGACGAAAAATGATACAAGATATACCTGTAGAGTTGTTATATTCTGGTGATTAATGGTTATTTCACCAAATTTTTTAATGTGTATTGTGTGAATTATCATAAACCCTTTAGTCACTCACAGAGTTCTCATAATATTTAGAGCATGAGCAAAAATTCGTAACACATCAAGAGAACCTAAGCCTTAAAAAAAAAACACTAACAATTATTAACTTTTAATAAAACAATCATACCATTTAAAAATTTAAACTTACACAAACGTTATCGCTAATAATGTAAATTTATTATATATAGTATATAGAAGTTTTTAAAATGCAAAATTATAATACAGATATTTGTTATGTAGAAATACGTGCGATTACGAGTAGAGGCGTCTAACGTTATATTAAATGCTTTATGGAATGTCGGTTTATTTAAATGTTTTATACTGACTAGACAAACGCGTACGATATTAAAATACACAGTTGCTTTAAACTATGCGCGAGTGTAATGTTACACAGTAAAAAAAAAAAATATTTTTATGCTCAGTCGATTGTATTATATTTATCTAATCTTTTTCTGATCAAAACGGACGGAATATTCTTGTTGAATTGTTATCATCATAATATTATATATTATTTGTTGCTTATCTACAGACAGTGAATATAGGTCTCAACTCCATGATAAAATGCTTGCCGATTAAGTAATAATAATAATAATAGTGTATGTTTTAATAGTTCATATCTTATATCATCACTTAATACTTTTGCGGCGCCAATAAAAAAAAAAAAAAAATCCAGGATTAGACTGACCTCGAACGGGATATTCAAAATTTAATAATGGTCTCTCCTTGTGTCCATTATGCACATGAATACACGCCGCCACTGTATTGATTTCTCTTCGATCAGTCTTGTGGGCACATGATTACTTTTTTTTACTATTTTGTTCACTAATAACGGACAGTTTCCAACAATACTTCGATTCTTTGAAATGTTTAAACAATGGAACAGATTTGATCCCATACATAACAGTGACAAATAGTGATAAATATAGTTCTTGACAAGCGTGCGAAAATTACGAAACTAGTAACGGCGTTGGCGATAAAATTTAAATAAAATTTTCAAAATTATCTTTTGCGAATTGAGAATGTGTTATTAATGAATGTTATTATAAATCACTTTCAACAATAATTTCATTGATATTACTTGAGCAAATGATGAATCAAATTTTGTAGCAGAACGAAAGCGATATTGAATATAATTTGCATACACCGATTAACAAGCATAATGTATTGACATTTAAAAAATTAAAAAAGCCACGCCTGGTACACATTTAATTCATCGAAGTTCAACTCGCAAAATTATTTTACGTAAATATCATTCAAATTAAAACTAAACTAGAAACATAATATGGGAGAAAAAAAACGGCAAACAATATAAAAATCTCTGAACATAACACATTATGCCTTCGTATGCGATACGACAACGAGTTATAGCGATTGTGCACACGGTCTACAAAGCTTAAAGCCGCGCATACGAGTACACTAGACCCGAACCGGCCTGACCAACTGAACCGAAAAAAATCAAAATGCCAATTTTATATGTGAGTGCATACACTTGTACCGCCGAATCGATCGCCCGACCCAATAATTCTGGTCGGTTCGGATTTCAACCGTTCAAACACATTTTAATTTATCGGCAAAAAATTAGTGATACTATACTATATATAGAGAAGTGCTCTTGATTTGTGACGCTGATCAATAAATTAAATTGCGATTCATTTTTAATATAATTTTATTTACACTCCTTATAATAATAATATAATATATATAATCGATGATTATCGATCTTTTCATATTTGGAGTTTTGATAACATCATTAATGTGTACACAATATCTTTTCCGCAATTTAAAAATGGGGTTCTATAATAAAAATGAATCCCATTCATCATTTAAAGAGCTATTATATTTCATATTTTTTTAATATAATATTACTAGTTAGCTCTGTTAAAGTAAACAACTGCACACCCCATGCACTGCATTCGTTAACTATTGAATAATTATTGTAAAAAATACAATACGTCGTTTACTGTCGTTACACACGAAAATATATGTAACCGATAAGAAACAAATACCTATACAGTTATTGGATATTGTACGCAAGAGCCCACACGATCAGTACATATAGGCTATATACAGGAATAATGACGTCTTCGGTATCGCGATTATACCATACAACGACGTGATATTTAATGCATTTTTTCATACATTACATTATTAATGAGAGTTTTTCTTTTAAACTACTTATAGTGATTTAAATACGGTTGTATATCACACCGCGATAATAATAATAAATTTATTCAGAAAACAAAGTTTTCTAAGTCTTTCTATACCGTGCATGGTTAATATTGCATACTAAAAAATGTTTATAAGGGTAAAAATTAAACGAAAGCGAAAAAAAAATATATAGAAATGAGATCCCATAGGAGTAATTATTGTATATCTACACAATCATCATAGTACACGAGTACCAATATTGGGCGTCAACTTTTAATCAATGTAAGGTTAAAACAATGTTTATTATTCGAATAGTGAGTAACAACATTTCTAATGCACTTGAATAATATTTATTTGACTTTATTGCATTTATTAAACGAACATTTTTATGTAAATACTTTTTTTTTTTTTTACCTTATTATCTAACATCATTAAAAATATTATTAATTTTGCTTATTATTTTCTTTTACATTTAATATTTTTATTGTTTTATACAGTTATTTGGTAAAGTATCACGATATATTCATGGAACAAACATTTTTCGCTTAAAATATTCCTAATAAAAAATTTTAAAGAATAGTTGAAAAAGTTGAATCTAATTTATATACATATGTCATGAAAAATAAATATTTGATTAGAAAAATTGCATCTTTTAATAAAATGTTAAATTCGATGTTATATTAATTATTTTATTGTGTTTTAGTATAAAAATGACAATATTTTCCCTCTTATACATGCAAAAGACCTATGAATTCTTATTATATTAAAAAATTATACGGTCTTTCAAAGAAAAAAAAGAGGGTAGAGATCAT